ACCGTTCAATCTGATATTTAAATTTAAGTTGTATTACAATAAACTTCGTATAGAGTATGATAAAGAAATAGTAAATGTACTGTTAGAGATTCAAAACTATTAACATCAACTAAAAAAAATACTAGATAATGATATGCATGATTTAAGATCTGTCAGTAAACCCAATAATCTGGTGTTTGATAACTTCTATGAAAAAGAGTCTATTCACTACAAGAGATTATTTTTTTGTTACCTTGTGATCTCAATCACGGGCTTTATCATGTTTTATCTTCATATCACAAAAGAACATTACAAAGAACTTGCTATGATACAAGGCGTATTCATTAATTCACACAATAAGGTTTTGGATATGATCATTGAGAATATCAACAGGTTTCATGTGGGACCATACCCATTACCATAAATAATTCTATTCATTATGTTGTAAATCTAGATTTTATTATCCTTATCGATCATGTATTTTATTATAAAAAGGCCATTAATTAAATAAATTTTGACCCTAAATCTACGTTAACTAACATTAGACCTAATCTTAATATACACTAAATAAAAAATGGAATCTTGTACTATGTTGGGCTCTTGCAATTGTTCTCAATGCATTGATTGGAATGCTCCATTGTGCCAACTTTGTTTTTCTAACAGATGTGAAATAAAATCTTTCCCAGATTATGAAACATATTGTGCTTCTTGTGTTCCACGAGATAAGGAAACCATTGTCTTTATCATCGGTGATATGAAAAAAAAGATCATAACAAGGAGAGATATAATCAAAACCCAAACGAATTCCCTCTTCGCATTACTACTAAACGATGGTAATATCAAACGAGATGATGACCATGTCTTTGAGGTTCCGCTTAATCTGAAGTTTCTGAATGAAATTGAACGTGCACTTCAAGGCCATGAAGTGATTACTGAATATGAAAATGAAGATCTTAAAAATGAGTTGTATTTCTTTACCGGTTGGGAAAATATCGAACTACTTTTTGAATCGGAAGATTTATGTTCGTGTGGTAACAGGAGATACAAAAAGAATTCAAAGTGCAAAGAGTGTCATGAAAATTTATTGAAGGAACATGCACCGATATGCAGATTGTGTAGAGAGGAAAAAGTTGGTTGGGATAAAGGAAGGAAGCGTTATTTTAATTTATGCAGAAATTGTGGTCGTGAACAGATATCATGCAACATGTGTAAATCTGGTAAGAAGTACTGGGATCATAGTAAAAGAGCATATCTTGATAAGTGTAAAATGTGTATTGATTTCATAGAAAGGAATAATTCTAAACTAGATTTGGAAATTACTTGTGAAAAATGTAGTAACAAATGGGGACAAATAGTAAAACATGTGAAAGATAGACACTGTTAGTTAATAGTTTATAATATTTTGTATTTTTATTTATCTTAATTCTAGTAAATAAATATATTCGTAAATATACAGATATAATATAAAATTAATCCTCCTTAACCTTGGGTGCTAGGTAATAATGGATATACGTATTTTCGGTTTCATATTTAATAAGCAACGGTGTCATATCTGATATACAGATCTTTACCCGTTGAGACAATACGGATGCCTTGGTGAAACTTATCAGATATTTTAGGGAAAATAATATGTCGATATCCTCTCCTATCGTGATCGCTATCTTATCATTCGCAATGCTATCATTTTTTTCTAGTTTAGTTGTATATCCGATGTTAATATCATCCTTCGTGTTTAAATTCATGACCCCTGTTTCTCGATTAGTAGTTATGGTTAGGTGATCTCCTGCGATTGTTTGATCTTAGCATATTCTTTTAAATTCACCGGATGCCATTTCAATAAATACATTGTATACAACCGCTGGTATATCAATTTGCTCCTAGTCGATATCAAGTAATCCGATCTCATATTTGGTCTCTTTACCATTGTCAGGATTTATAAATATCACATATAACCTATCAGTAGTATTTTCTTTAAGCTTCAGGGTTAAGGTATCATTGTCACTCGCTCGATTTAATACCTTGCCTAATGTTACAAGGCTAATACCGATTGTTATCTCTCGTTCACAGGTGTAATCTTGGAAATCATCATAATCAAGATGAACTGAGATGAATGAAATATATGACCTGTCCATGGCACTGAACTCTATACCCGATTCCGTAAATCGAAAATTTACATCATTTACAAGTTCTTTGGTCGATTCGATTATTCGTTTAAACAATGATGACCTGGCAAACGTAGCTTCAAGCATAGTTAATTTCCTATCATAATCTTACGAGTTTATTTATAATTATTAAGGTTACACATCAAATTTTATAAACTAGTAATCGTAACTAGAATTTATACTTATAATAAAACTTTACAAGGGATAATACCTATCATAATCTACGTTTACATTTTAATATCAAGTGTAATCTAAGCAATTCTGGTGGGATAACCTCTTTACAAAAATTACAGCGAAACATATCGATCATATCATATTGATTAAAATATTTATTCATAATTTCACGGTTTAAACCTGTCACGGGAGGATCACTTTTCTTAACGATAACATAAGGTTTCTTAATATTTTTATTTCCCCTAACAATATTTTTTTTCTCTATAGATTTGGTGTTTTGAAGTTTTCGAATCAGATCACTTGTTTTGGGTTTCTTTACACTCTTTTTGCTAGTTTCTGGTTCGAGAAGTAACTTTTTATTAAATTTTCCATTCTTAACATATTCTCTCCAATCATCATTATGTTTTGTGGCAAAATGTTTTTTCATTGTTGATACCTTGGGGTTTGTTCGAAACGTATATCCACAGACTAAATATTTATTTTTATGAAAATAAAATATTATCGAATGTTTTTTATTATCAACCCTTGGTCGATTAAATAGATGATAGCGAATCTGGCACCAG